GTTGATAGTCTATTCAGCACATACTGCGAGAATTATTCGGATTGAATTCATGTTGGCGACCGGAGAATAAGTCTCGAAAAAGTCGACGCCATGATTTTGCTTGAATCCTTTCGCGACCAGTCGTGCCTTGTATCGCACGACATCGCCATTTTTATCACGCTTCTTGGCAATCAACCATCGTGATCTAATTGTGCGTTTAATCTTTCCTCGTGGCTCCAAGGTCCACGTTTGATTTTCTTCATGAGAGCGAAGCTCAGCATTCATTGCATAAGCATACGTAGTTGGCAAATTCGTTTCATCGTCAACGCTAACAGCGTAGGCAAGAACAGCTTCTGCGATTAGTTCATTCTCGTCAAACCTAGCAAGTTTCGGAGTCGATGGACATTCACTGCCTTTTGCCGACTCTTTGTCATCTCAGCCGTTCCTTATCAATAGCACCGGCTCACGTCTTGCTCTTGTTCGCTACAATTCAGGCCGAATACACCAAACGATCTTCGTGTTGCACTTGGATCGGTTTATGATACTCCATAATTGTACAGGGCTCTCAGAAGGCATAAGCCGCTGTACATCAATGCTTGGCGCGTGATCAATATCTTCCATTTCGACATCCGCAACTGGCTCTTCGACAACTTCCATCGGATCGTCTAAAGCTGGCTGTCGATACACTTGATGCTGAACCTCGACTTCATCACCATCCTTCATTACTTGAAGTATTCGTTCCAGCTTGTTCTCTTGCATGTCGTAAATGCTGTTCACCTCACGCTCATCCAACTTCACAGAGCCAGTCTTGTCCTAGTCGAACTCGCGATATCCCTTGAAATTCTCTGCGTTGCCGAGAAACATACACTTGAAGCTCTTGGGTTCCAGTTTGGTCCGTTTCAAATCGTCAATGTGAGCGTAGCCGTGCGAACCAAACACGCGCAAGTGAACCATTTGAGGTTTCATCTTGAAAGCAAGCTCGTATGGTGTGATGTCTGGATGAGCCGTATTGCTGGAGCGGTTAATTAAAAAAACGCTGTGTTTACCGCTTCCGCCAAGCATTCCGTCGAGACGCTCATATAATTTAACATGGTGCGGGCCTTCTCCATGATAGTCCTGTTCATACGATCCGCCACTCCGCTCTGCTGAGGGCTGTATGAAACAGAACGCTGGTGTACAATGCCGTTCTGTTGACATATCCCAGCCATTGTCTTGCTTACGAATTCGGTTCCGTTGTCAGATCGTAAATACCACAGTCGCGCACCCGCATCGCATGGGTTCTGTTAAGTGTCAGAAACTTCTTAAACTTGCCAGCCACTTCACTCTTGCTCTTGATTGTAGGAATCGCCACATATCTTGAAAAATCATCCACAAACGTAAGAATGTACTTGGTTCCCCCCTTCGAGGAAGTCCTCATAGGCCCCATGACAACTGTGTGTACGCGTTCCAGCACACGTGTCGTTTTTGTCATCGAGCGAGATGGAAATGC